TCCTCTTGGCCTCTTGGTTCAATTTCATGTATCCCTCTTCTTCTCCAAAAACCCTATCTTCCTCTTCTTACTGAAAAATAACTTCTCTTACTCTCTTATTTCTAATAATAACATAATATTATTTTATTAATCCAAATAAATCCAATTGAGCTTGAATTCTACACCTCACTCTTACTTCTTGACGCCAAAACATAAGTTCATTACGAATTCTAAATTTATTTCCAATAAATTAATACTATGATATTACTACCACTTAATCAATCCATCACTTAAGTAATATTTCATTAATCCCAACATAAGAATTATTATTAATCAACTAATTAATTAATTAATAATAATCCAACAACTTTTACCAATACTTCTTAACATCTCGCAACATCACAAATAATCCAAAAATATAATTTATTTAAATAATTAATTAAATTAACAGACGTTACAACTCTCCCTCACTTAGAATATTTTCTTCCTCTAAAATTTACCTTAATTGAACAACTCAGGATAGGAGGCCCGCATCTTGCTTTCCAACTCCCAAGTCATGCTTTCCCCAGCCGCTTCTAACCTGACTACTTTCACCAAAGCAATCTCCTTGCCTCTCAGAGTCTTCATTTCACGATCCGCGATTCCTATAGGAATCGTCTCAACAGTAAGATTATCCCTTACTTGCACATCATCCATATGGATCACATGAGATGGATCTGAAATGTACTTCCGGAGTTGTGAAACATGAAACACATCATGCAAATTTGAAAGATTAGGCGGTAAAGCCACTCTATAATCAACATTTCCAACTCTTTCTAAAATCTTATACGGACCAATAAAACGATAAGTAAGCTTCTTAGACTTCAATGCTCGCCCAACACCACTTACAAGCGTAACTCTCAAAAACACATGATCACCTACTTGAAATTCTAAGTTCTTCCTTAGCTCGTGATTTCTCGAATCAACTTTTGGGAAGCTTTCATCTTTTCTCGAATCAACCTCACCTTCTCAGTAGTCTCACGAACAAGTTCAGGTCCAAGTACTACACTTTCTCCAGATTCATGCCAACATAAAGGAGTTCTACATCTCCGACCATACAATGCTTCAAAAGGTGCCATTCAAATACTAGAATGGTAACTGTTATTGTAAGTGAATTCTATCAACGGATGATAAGTATCCCACGAACCTCCCTGCTCAAGAACACCTGCTCTCAACAAATCTTCCAACGATTGAATAGTCCTTTTTGTTTGGCCACCCATCTGAGGATGATACGCCGAACTCAACCTCAACTTAGAACCCAATGCCTCTTGCAAACTCTTCCATAAATCAGAAGTAAATCTCATATCTCTATCTGAAACAATGCACAAAGGAACACCATGAAACTTCACAATTACACTAGTGTAAATCTCATCCAACATCGATACTGGAAAATTGATGTTAATAAGAATAAAATGAGCCGACTTCGTAAGCATATCAACAATTACCCAAATAGAATCATGTCCTCTTGACGTATTTGGTAACCCCGTCACAAAGTCCACCGAAATGCTATCCCATTTCCATTATGGAACTTCTAACGGTTGCATCAACCCCACATGCTTCTGATGTTCAACTTTGAACTTCTGACAAGTCAAACATGCATACACAAACCGAACCACATCACTCTTCATCCCAGGACACCAAAAAAAATTCTTCAAATCCTGATACATCTTTGTAGCTCTTGGATGAATACCTAACTTACTTCTATGACTTTCCTCAAGAACCACTTTCTTCATCTCTGCATCATCAGGAATACAAATCCGATTACGAAGTTTTTGGAAATTGTTGGAAATAAGTTGCAAGATTATTACTAGTAATTAATTAGTTGACTAATTATGGTAATAATATTAGAATTAGTAGAATAATAAAATAATTTTGTTAGGCCTAATTTTAATGGTTGGAAGTAGAAGTATAGATGGTTCATTGTTAAGCCCATTAGGAATAATAATAATAATTAGGTTTAGTTATAATAATAAGAAATTAGGTTAATTAAAAAGATAAAGAAAGTCTTGGTGCAGTAACGTAGAAAGTGATCGAGAAGAGAAATAAGGAAAAAAGGAAAAGCTATGTTAATCATAGAGTTACAGAGCAACCTTCAATTCAAGGTAAGGATGGGGTTCTGAATCTATAATGGGAATTATGATGCATGTTATGTATGGATAAGGTTGGTGTAATTGCTCTACGTATAACTGTGTTTATGTATTCCTTAATTGATGTTGAATTGGTATGTAACACTGTTGATAACAACTGTCTGTGTTAGATTTTATATATAATTATTGCTAAGATTCTATGTCGATGTAATAATGTGTTGTATCATGTTGTTGTGAGAATACTGTTAATCGAAGGAATATTTGGAGAATTCTGTGTTTGTATCAGTAAGTCTGTGAAGAAGCTACGTGAGAAACACTCTGTGCCAGGGGGTGCAAGTATTGTGTCAAAAGACACAAAGTGAAGGAACGTGTCGAGGGGAACAAGAGCCTGCCGACCGGCATGGTATAGAGATGATTGTGCTGAGAGGCACGTCCCTAAAAATCTATTTCTCAGTTGTTCTGTCTGTTCCTAAGCATGTTACTTTATTAGTTCTAATTATTAGCAAATAGTAAATGTGTATTAGAAGCAAGATTAATTAAGTAGCAGAGTTAATGATAATTAAGTTACAGAGTTAGTATTTAGCATGAAATTTGGTGACTAAATATGAAGTAACAGTAAAGGCTATTAGTATTAGAAAAAATAGTAGTTCCATTTAATTGGCACAAATTGATTAGTAAAGTCCATTGGTAGAATATTTAGTAAAATGGGATTAATGGGACATGGTTAATAATAGTATTGGTATGTGTTGTACCCCAAAAATTTTCTTCCCATATTCCTCAAGATTTGTCAAGAATGATCTTCATATTGCTCAAAATGGCTCAAGGGTTGTACAGTCAAATCACCTCCTAAGGTAGTCAATTCAAAATTAGGGTTTTGTGTTGCATCAAGGTCCTTACAGCCAAATGGCCTCAAGTGCTTCCCAATGCCTTAATATGTTCTTAAGTCCATCCATGTCAAATTTCAAGCCTTCTAGAGGAATTTTGGTCAGTTCATTGCTCAAGAGACCCAAAAAGCGACTGTGCTAGGGCAAAAGTCAACGGTGACCTACAAATAGTCAAACCTCCAGATTTTTTGTCAACATTCTCATTTTTAAGGATAATTAATCATTTGATCAATGGTTGATCATGATTCATCAAGGATTGCTCAAAATTCATCAGGATTCAAAAGTTGCTCAATTAGGGTTTTGCAGGAAAAGTAAACTCAACTTTGACCAAGCATAACTTTCTCATACTTTGTGAGAAATGACCCATCCAAAGCTCATTTTGAAGAGGATGCAATTTCCTACAATCCATCAAAGCATTACAATTTATTCATGCAACTTCTTTAATCCAATCTGATACTAAATTATTTTACTAATTATATTAACTTATTAATAATATAAGATATGACATAGTCTTTCCAACACACCTATATGTTCTTTCGAGCCTCATCTCAGGACAACAACTAAATAATAGCCGGTTGTACCCCAATTTTTGACCTAAGATCCCATTTTTATTTTTGCATTTTTAAAGATAAGTCAAGGTCACGAAATACAGTCGGTTTTAATGTCTCACCTTTGAGCTTTGACTATGCGAAGATTGTCAAGTGTTTTGAACATTTTTAGCATATGTACCACTAATTTCTAATCGCATACAAAGGTGTATGTTCATGTTTTCTTTTGTGTCATGTGCAGAGACAGGTCTGAATCAAGAGCATCAGGTGTCGCGCCTCAATTAAGGTTTTGAGTCTCCCAAGCCAAAAGTACGGTTGATTATGGATTCTCGAAGACTGATTCATCAAGGCACAACTGTTGCACCCTTAATTTCGCCCCTAATTTTTTCAGTCGCACATTCATACCATATTTTGTCATTTGGTCACAATCATTAGTAAATATCTTCATTCATCATATTTTGCATCATTTAGTCGTATTTAAGTTGACCAGAAAAGTCAGTTTAAATCAAAGTTTGCATCGTCTTTTAGTTAAAAAATACCTGACATTTCACTTCATGCATTTTTATCTCTTTACTCGTTTCTTGCATTGCTCCAAGTTGTTTATATGTCGATAATAAAAATATTTTGGTTTTATAGACAAACTGTTAAAAGCGATTCAACAATGTACGAAAAATTAGCGAGAAAAATATTTCAAGTTTTCACCTTTTACCGATCATTTTATGAATCTGCATCTCGCATAGATTATGACGGTATGCTCGCTTTATTTTTTCGATACAGTTTGAAGTCTCGTTTTTAACCGTAAAACGCCTGTTTAGCCTGGTATTTTCATTATCATTTTATTCCTATTTGTACTCTTTTTGAATATTTTTTCTTTAATCTTTGTGACATGTAGAGTATTTTAATGTGTTCATTTTATTTTTTCGGATAAATTTTCGTCCGTTTCTTTATTGTTTTCGGTCATTTTAGCTCTTTATTTTTTATTCAAAAAAATTATTTTAAATTGAATTAATTTTAATACTTTCAGTTTTTATTCCATTTAAGGGTGTTTTTGTCATAAAAAAAATTAAATACACCTTGCTCTATTTCTATTGGTTGATAACTTAATTTGCGGATTAATGATTTTGAACGGTTCTGATCAATTCTTGAGATCAATTTTCCTCTTCATTGTTCTATTTAAAGGTCTCTTATTTTCTTTACAAAGGGGGACACACACAACAAAAACCCACAACTCAGTAACCCACTCCAATCCTCCCAGTCAGCAACATCCTGCCTTTGGAGTTAGTCAAGGCACCCCAGAATTGGAAGCTGATAAGAACCAGAGATACCAGTCAACATTACAGTTTGCTGCCAATCTTCTACTCCAAATACAGCAGCAGCAGCAAACACAAGGAGAACATGGGCCAGGAATTCAACAATGATAATTGTTTTCTGTAAATAACATCCTATAGTTAATTTTTGATCTAATGATATCCTTTATAGATCATTCCTGCAATTCACTTACCTTAGCTGGATTTTTCAACATAAGAAATTCTGACCATATTTACATTCTTTTCCCAAATTCTTTTTGTCAGAAACATGTAACTGTGTTACATATGAATTTCTGGTTACAGCTTGATGCAACTGTTAGTGTAAATGATCTGCGGGCTCTAAACCTGCATCATGTAAACTATATACTTGAGTAGTATACATTTCTCAAGTATAATTATATAGAACCTACAAATAGAAATTAAGCACTTGTAGACAACGTTTGGTATGAACTGCTATGGTCCAAAGCCGTCTGAGGAGGATCGAATAATGTACTTGGTTTTGCATCCTTTCACATAATTTTACCAAACTAATATTGCTAGTAGTCTTTGGTAGAACTGTTATCAATCTGACTGATTACAAATTTCAAAACATTAACTCTGTACCAATCCCTTTAGTATTCACATAAATATAACTTACTATAGTTGTAGTAAAAAAAATATATAAAAAATATTAGTAAATCTTATATTTAGATTTAGTTTAGTATTAATTTAGAATTTTAATTAGTTTAGATGTATTTTATAACTTTAAAATATTTAGAATCATAATTAATAACTTTAGAATTTTATTTGTTTTAATTTTATTTAGTAACTTTAGAATTTTATTTCATTTAGATTTGATTTAGTAAACTTTATAATTTTATCTGTTTTAATTTTATTTAGTAACTTTAGAATTTTATTTCATTTATATTTGATTTAGTAAATTTTAGAATTTTATTTGTTTTGATTTTATTTAGTAAACTTTAGAATTTTATTTGTTTTAGTTTAGTTTAATAATTTTAGAATTTTGCTTGATTTTATTTAGTTAACTTTAGAATCTTAGTTGTTTAGTTTTAGTTTAGTAATTTTAGAATTTTATTTGATTTAGATTTAGTTTAGCAACTTTGAATTTTTTTTTGTTTTAGATTAGCATCCTTGGAATTTTAATTTAGTTTAGATTTAATTTACTAAATTTTAAAATTTTAATTTAGTTTAGATCTAATTTAGTAATTTTAGAACTATTTTTACAACTTTAGAATTTGTAGTTAGTTTAGAATTATTTTAGTAAGTAATCTTAGAATTTTTACTTAGATAATTAGTTCTATTTTCTTCTATTTAAATATCTTCGTCATTTTAATTTCTCGATGCCTTTGGTCATTAGTCTGTTTCATTAGATTTGTTTTCTTGTGAATTTTCGAATGTTTATACTTTACTGATTCATCTTATTTTACTTGCTCAATTTATCCCAAGGGAAATATTTTAACTTTGTTGACTTCATGTCATCAAATATCTAATACAATTGTGCGAATACCCCCATTCATTTTTTTGCTTGTTTACTATTTTGCTAAACTCAAGATAATTTTCCCAAAAAGACTCCATTTTTAAACTCACACCTTTTAAGTCAAAAACTTCGACATTAGCTCATCGGATTTTCAAAAAATCTCGTCCACACCTATTTTTAATCAAACAAACAATTTTAACCAAAAACAGATATTTCAAAAGGCTCCTGCGGAGTACCGCAGATGCATTGGGTGCTAATACCTTCCCATTGTATAACCAACCCCCGAACTCTCGATCTCTTTTAAAAAACGCATTGTATTTTCATTACTTTTAAATATTACTTTACATTGCATACTTTAGGGTTTTATTTCGCTCTTTTCCCTTTTCCCTTGGAAATAATAAAGCGCGGTGGCGACTCTTGCTTTTGTGAGTCAAGTTAATTAATAGCTTGATCTCCGATTTTCACCGCTACATAGCCATAACAACATCATAACAGAAATACGATTCAAATAAATTGCAGAACAACTTCATCAGCACATTATGAACATTCACTGACAACTAAAATTCCAGGACTGATAATCTTCACAGAATCACAATATAACTGAATCGACAACAATTCATGGCATAAATTTATACAACCCAACCCCACATACGGTTTATCATATACCCAGCTATAGAGATTTAACCCCACCCTTACCTGGTTTGAATTGAAGGTAACTTTAAGGGTCTCTGATTGAATCTCCTCTTGGACGCTTGGTGTAACTTCCACGCATCCCTCTTCTTCTCCTCAAAACCCTTATTTTTCTCTTCTCTGCAACTTCTCTTGTACCAAAACCTTCCAAGATTTTTTTCTCACTAGATCAGAATCAAAGCTGAAAATTTTCCCAAATATACAGCTACAGTGCGATGATGATATCTCCAAACTCAGACCTTATTTTAAAGCTCCCAACGGTCAAAAGTTAGATGTAGGTGTTTCGAACCTACCCTCAAAATTTGAGCATGATCCAACGGTTAACGAATCGGGGATCGCCGATTTAGTGAGACTGCTGGAATAAATACGGGAATGAGTTTCTCCCATCTATTCTCTCATTTTTTCTAAATTAACCTAATTCCTTATATATCCACTTAATCTTGTAATTCTAGTAATTTTTATTGGGCCAATATCCACACTCTCATATTTACTACATGACATCACTTAAATGAGTCCAACAATTAATCTTATAATGCTCCAATATATTTAATATTATTAAACCACCATTTAACCAAATAATATCACAGAGCAACTTAACAATAATTCGCAACATTGCTCAACTCCAACTAATAATTTTAATTAAATAATTAATTAAATTATCGGGGCGTTACAACTCTCCCCCATTTAGGATATTTTCGTCCTTGAAAATCTACTCGATACTTCCATCCTTAACGCGAACCTCGTATCCAACTCTCTAATCCTCAAACTCTGCGTTTACCAACACTTTAGCCACTACCTTTTGACATAGTAACAACTCAATCATGATGTAAATCTACTACGCACGTGCTAATCACTTAACACCCTCACGACATACTCGTCAATATCTTACCAACCTTTTCGGCAACACTCTGACATAACAACTCCCACGGTAGAAATGTAACAATCATAACTCACTTATACTTGGATATACCACGTCACCTCTTAACAACTTTGCCAACACCAAAGTGCGTATACAACTTTATTCTCATACGTATATGTATGTCAACTATCAACAAAATATCAACAACTTTATTCACCATTATAGTGACATCAACATAGTTAACAAATTAACTTCGTCATATTATTGGATATTATTCATCACTTACGGTAACCAACAATAACATCTCAATAATGATTAAAAAAATCATTACAACATCAACTTAACTGTATAACTCAGCAAACATACCCATAGTTCACCATCAACCAACAATCCACAACAATCTTCTTATAAAATCCGCAAATATTTACTAGCAAACATAGTGCCCTGGCACAACATCTCTATATCAACCATCCACCAAATCAAGCATGTAAATTAAGACACACCATTCCCAAAGGCTTCTGATGTTTTAATCCTTCACTTCTAACGAGTCGTACACGCATTTGCGTCACATCACGCTTCAGCTGCGCAACTCTGATCATCCATCTTAAGTCATCGTCCTCATTAAATATTCCGTCGGTTATATGGTTTACAAGTTTCAATCTAATCCCAAAATTTCTTTAACATCTGTCATAAAATCATTGTTCACTTGATATTCGCAATCTTTCACATTGCAACGTTAGCTCGCATACAAACCACTACTCCAAATTGTTCATTAAGTCTTAACTCTCACTCAACGACTCCTCTACTAATTTCACACAAACTGGTGAGCGATTATTCTCGCGATATAACATCCATACTTTTTTACACCATTAAGATAGTAAGAAAGATCTATAACATCTAACATAATCTTGTCTACTATTAACAATGGATTGAGGGTAATCAGTTTCTCAATTTGTCAATTAGTATTCGACAACCATAAAGGAGTATAAATCGTCGTACCAAACTATAATAGTGTTTCCTTAAAACTCGTATTCAATTTTTCTAAAACACAACATGTCTAATCCTCATTCGCCCACCATCCCACGATGATCAATCATTTTCTAACTCGAGATCTGTTGGCATATCAATACATTACAAATCCTTCCACTCTAGTTTGAGTCTTTATCTACATAAAGGATTCTAACAACATTCTTAAACTCTTAATCTTCTACCGAATTTCACAACATCAAAAATACATGTATCTCCACCTCTCAAACTCATTCCAATCACACTCTCAATATTATCATCTTATCTAACAACATTTCATATATATCTACACCTCAAACAACTACGATAGTAATCATCTAAGCTCAACAAGCTACTAACCTTTATAACAGACTTCGTCGTTCTCCAACTTAGAACTGCATCCACCTTGAATGGATCTACATAAATTTTCACTTGGAAATAAAATTACTCAAGAGAACTCTTCTCCCAAAACTATAACATACATCATGACAACTTAGCATAAATCTTCCTCCTTTTCGACACCGTAAATTCCACACAACTTCGCACTATCGTCTTTCGTTCTAATTAATAACACCAAAGCTTTACAAATGATACCTTTTATTTCACAAATTACTTTAAATAAATCTTCCAATTGCTCATTTAATTCACCCAACTCGGACGCAGACGTCCCGTACAACACTGAAGAACAAGTCTAGTCCCAAAGACAAGCTTAACAACAAACTGCACTTACTTCCAATATCATCACGTGATAAATGAATATATTACAGATACTGGAACCATTTTTAAAATAAAGTTCATTCCGTTATCTTTCTAACACTTCAAACAGAACTCAAATCGGATGCCCGAAACTCTAGCTATGAATTTTCGAAGTCCCACAACAATTATGCAGTTTCCTACGATCCGCTTACGGAAATTTCACTCTGAAACTCATTTGTCTTCAACTTAGACATATTCCAAACAACTCTTAACATATCTCGTGCTCCCAAACTTCCTATAACTCGAGAGATGCATTCCTTCGTCAAAGTTCAGGTTCCAAAACACCAGGGCAACAATTCTTTTCGCAACGCTACTCACTTATTCAAGTTTCGACTCAGACTCGCGATTCACAATAACTTATCAACGTCAACTACTTCTGACAATCACTTATGTGATCCCAACACAAAAGTTACAGCAACTTTATTACTCCATCATTGTTCAAACATCGACATCTTACACTTGCTTCGTAAATCAACAAATATTACATCGCTCTTCATTCTTCGAGAAGTAAGCACCAACAATATCGACATCTTACACTTGCTTCGTAAATCAACAAATATTACATCGCTCTTCATTCTTCGAGAAGTA